CAGATAAGATGATGCCTTCTCTGTGCGTCTGTCAGCCACTTGTGACGAACTTTACATAGATGAGTTGTGCTTTTCTTCTCACGTAGGTCTTCCTGTGAGAGGAAGAGAGACATTTTAGATATATTTCAAAACCAAGTTCCTGGTGAGGCCAGAGCTTGTTTGTAAAGGGTTCAGGGAATCTAGCAGTTTCTCATCTGTTATTCACAAAATAAAACTGGAATCACTAGAGTACAACAGTGAATGAAAGGTCAGTGAATGGAAAAAAACTGCCATGAAGGAGGATGTCAGCAGAGTTGAACCTTATAGTAGACAAAGATTAGGAAACTGTACTTTCTGAGGTAATGTGTTCTGGGTGACCGGGAGCCAAGGTTTGGGGCATTATAAGCCAGATGGAACACTACATGAATGTCCTGAGTTCAATGAAATTGTTAAATATTTAAAAATACTCAGTTATCTCTTTATGGTAGATGTTAGTTGAATAGATTTATAAACAAGAGGTTTCTTTTGGGGCTGGCGTTGGGGTATACCAGGTTAAGCTACTGCATGTAGTGCTGTGGGTGCTGGTTCCTGTCCTGGATGCTCCACTTCCCATCCAGCTCTCTGCTGATGGCCTGGGAGGGCAGCAGAGGATGGCTCAAGTGCTCGTGCCCCTGCACCTAGCTGGGAGACCGAGGAGAAGCTCCAGGTTTGGGCCTGGCACAGCCTTGGCCATTGCAGGCATTTGGGGAATGAACCAGCAGAAGGAAGACCTCTCTCTCTCTCTCTCTAATTATAAAAAAAAAAAATTGTAAAAAGCAGGTTTCTTTTTATTATATGTTGTGTTCTAAAATGTGTTTAGCTTTTTGTTTTGCTTTGAGACTCAATAGTGATTTCTTTCATTCTGTTCTCTTAGAATTTTCTAGAGCTACACTCAACTTTTGGGGTCCACGAAAGTGATCTAGGAGCCAGTACTAATCACTGATAAAACTGGACCTCAAACTGCCAGGCTGACTCAATTTATGGTTGGGATAGTTGTTCTGTGGAGGATATTCTGAAAGCCGACACAGCTTTAGCTTCACTGTTTAGCAAAGTTTAGCAAACTTCCAGTTTGCAGACTATGATTAGCAACAAAACAGTGCCTGCATTTACATTTCAGCTGGTTCACCTGTAAATTTTATTCCTGGTTTCATGTGAAGTGCAGTTTAGGGTCTCATATCTCTGGTCATGTCGGAGCTCCTTTTCTTTCTTCTCTCTTGTTGAAGCTTTGCAATTCTGCAGTTTTGAGGAAGCGAGGCTCCTCCATCAGATGGGGAGAGGGCCAGTAGCCATTTTCATCCCGGTACTAAAAGGCAGGTCACAGCAGGTGAGGCTAGGATCCTGTAGATATCAGCAAGGCTGTCACCACATCCGAGCAAAAGTTGAAGTTAACTCTGGGATTTAAAGAAGTAGACTCATACTTATATCCTGGCCACTGTATTCTTACCTGTGAATGGACTAGTCATGGGACATACTTCACAGGCTAGTTGTAAAGGTTGAATAAATCCTTGTAAAGTCTTTAGAGCGGAGCCAGTACTGTGACATAGTGGGCAAAGCTGCTGCCTGCAATGCCGCATCCCATTTGGGTGCTGGTTCCTGGCTGCTCCACTTCCCATCCAGCTCCTGCTAAGGTGCCTGAGAAAGAAGTGCAAGATGGCCCAAGTCCTTGGGCCCCTGCCAGTCATGTGGGAGACTGTGAAGAAATTCCTGGCTTCAGCCTGGCCCAGCTTCAGCTGCTGCAGCCATCTGGGGAGTGATCCAACGGATGGAAGACCCCCACCCCCACCCCCCGTCTCTCTCTCCCTCTAACTCTGCCTTTCAAATAAAAAAATAAATATTAAGAAAAACGGCTTTAGAACAGTGCCTGTCATGGTAAATGTTCGTTATATCTTATGATTACTTATGTGATTGCTTATTTATAAGTATGATGAAAACTGTTCTTTAGAGAAACACTGGAATCATATAATTTTTGAAACACTTTTTTTTAAAAAAATATTCATTTATTTATTTGAAAGGGGGAGTTGTAGAGGCAGAGAGAGAGAGAGGTCTTCCATCTGCTGGTCCACTCCCCAAATGGCCACAACAGCCGAAGCTGTGCCGATCTATAGCCTGGAGCCTGGAGCTTCTTCCTCCAGGTCTCCTATGCGGGTGCAGGGGCTCAAGGACCTGGGCCATCCTCTACTGCTTTCTCAGGCCATAGCAGAAAGCTGGGTCGGAAATGGAGGAGCTGGGACTCGAATGGGCACCCACGTGGGATGCCAGCACTGCAGGCCGTGGCTTTACCCGTTACACCACAGCACTGGCCCCAAGAATCATAATTTTTTAGAAGTTAAAATTTAAAGTCATCCAGTTAAATTGTAATCAAAATATTAGCTTTCAGTTGCTATGTTGGTTAAGTATAAGATAAAGAATGATAAGACTCATTAATATTTATTGTTGTAAGAACTACCTTGGGGAGAAATGTTACCTTAAATAATAACTGTTGTACATTTAGTCAGGAAAGGAACAAAACAGTAATAGAAAAAAATGATACCTTGTGAGTACTTGTATACCAGTACTGGCTGACTCCTGTTTTTGAATTGTGGATTATACTTGGAGAAATTTTCATATACTCCTATTTCACTGGGTACAGTGGCCCTAATCTAGCATTTCTATGTGAATTCTACTAGCTGTTAATAGATTTTAGGGGGAATTCCATGGTCAACTAAGTTTGGAAGAGTTTATTTGACACAAACTAAGCCAGTTTCTTAGATGCGTTCTTGTGTTGTGACTCCCAGGGAGATAGGAAAAGCACTCTCTCTCTTATTCTTTGGACCCATATCCTGCCTGTCAGCACTGATGGACACCAGTGCTCTAGGCACAGTTCAGGAAATATAACCTTGGGAGCATAGCTTTTTTCACTTGGTGTCTCAGATGAATCCTAACAAGGTGTAGCTAAACAATTAGCTGCAGATCAGGGGTGGATTAAGGGTCACAGATGATGTTGGGTCCTGAATGTTCAATCACTAGAATGCAATAATAATCACTGATACACACTGAGTGCTTACTGCGTGCCAGGGATACAACACTTGAGATGTATTAACTAATCCTCTCAAGAACTCTGTAAGAGAATGAGATCATTGTCCTCATTTTATAGTTGAGGGAACTGGGAGCCAGAGGAGTAAAGTAACTTGACTACAGCCAACAACTAGGAAGCAGTAAAGCCAGAATGTGAGCTCAAGAGGACCTGCTCCGCCTTGTGGTCATGGGATTGTAGGTGTGCTGGGGCCTGTGGGTGTGTGCCTGGGCAGGGTAGAGTGTTATTCCTGGACAAGAGACCACCTGGGAGTGTGAAATAACTGAATTTGGAAATGGGAACAAAAATGAAACTGTACATGTACAGATCCCAAGGGCCTTGGTTATCACACAAAGAGATTGGGAGTTTCTGTAATGGATCCATCTTCTCTGTCCTTTAAGGTAACCTTAAGAACTGTAGTGAGCTTAAGAATTTTGTTTGAGTTTAGGGGAGAAAAAGTGCATACACTTAGACTGGATGCCAGGAATGCACTCAAGAGTATATTTTCAAGGTGCATGATTGTCAGCAGCATCTGCCACTGTAGTTTGCTGTGTCACGGACCCTGTGCAGAGCATGGCAGTAGGGACAGGAGTACCCTGAATTAGGCATCAGTTGAACATAATATAGGGATGATAAGAAGAGATGACCTCTTTCCCCTCTCAAGTGCCTACATTTCCAGCAGTTTTCAGGAGCATAATTTGTATGGATCTTCAAGTAGGGGCAAGTCTACTAGGATGTTAACTCACAGAGATACACATAATGTTAGTGAGATTAAAGGTCTTGTTTAAGGCTCAAAGAGGCAGTAAAAGTGGAATTGTACTATTTTCTAATAAGATACAATATGTTGTTCTTTTCAGTAGCACTAAAAATATGCAGGTATCCCCTATGAATCAATTCTTGGTTCCTGAGTTTGTACTTAGTAAGTAGTGAGGGTTTGGATTGCAAAGGATGTATCTGAAAATTTATCAGAATCTGGTTTCTGGGTTTGGATTTGGATAGCAAGAGTTTGGATAGCAAAGAATATTTAGATAGGAAACCCCATGGAGATGTTATTTGTTCTTTCTTTTCCTAGAGGATGTGAGAGTGCCTCTTTTTGTTACCTAGATTTCTCTCCTTTGAGTGGTAGCAAGACTGTGACTTACCGAGGTCATGGAGTAGGTCACCAGAAGGATAGGACTAGAAAAACCTGAATGCTTCTGAGTCCAGGAATCTTGCCACAAGGTCGTAGTGTACCCTAAGCAATTAGGGTCTGTCAACACTGCTCTGTAGTGCTTTGCAAAATGAGCAGGAGAGCTCCAGAAATCAGTGGTAATGATGGAAATCTTGACTCACTGCCCAGAAGATCTCAGGAACTTGGTAAAGAAAATATTTTTAGGAGTAGGGGTGAGTATGTTTTTTGATACCTGTGAATTTTTCAAAAATCCATATAGTGGGAAGATTTAAAATTGATTTTAAAAAGGATTTTTAACATAACCAATTTTATGTTAAAGAAGTAACATTTGGCTTCAGGTCACATTTGTTATATCCCTGTTTTGCTTCTGTGAATAATTGTCTTGACTTGGTTGCTTGCTACTGACTTCAAATTCCTCTTTATGTTCTACAAAAAAAAAAAAAAAAAAAAAAAAAAGTTTGCATGCTGGGTAAGGAGCAAATGTTGTAGGACCTGTGACAGCGAAGGAACGGAGAGAGGAGTCATTGTAGCTGCCTTCAGGGCTTGCATATCACCATGGTAGCCTTACAAGCCAAGGCCTGGTGCTGTATTATATGCCAGACTTTGCATCAGCAGCTATAGAAGAGAATTCATCTGCAGCTAGATTTACTTGGATCTGTGGAATTTGATTCTTCTGTTTTAAACTGTTACAGCTGAGCAGTTCATAGAAGGCTGATTTTTACTTTGTGCACAGCGTAATTTTAAAATGTTTATCCTTAGGTGGGTTTGCTGAGTTCTCTCGTTGTTTCCCTGGCCTCTGTGAAGGAAAATCCACTCTAGTCCCTACCTGCATTTCTCAGCCTTGCTTACCTGTTGCCAACATTGGGCCAACTCGAATTCTTCCCAATCTTTATCTTGGCTGCCAGCGAGATGTCCTCAACAAGGTGGGTGTTTTGAAAATATCCTTCATTGCTGGGTTTATTGGTAGCAGCTGGAGAAACAGCAATTTCCCATTATCTGTTATTTTAAACACATAGCAGTTCTAAACAGAGAAGGAAGGACACCATTCTCCGTGTAATTCCCCAGTTAACAGTTACATCATCTTCTGGCATGTTTTGTTTGATGTTCTTTATTGGCACAGGAAACCTGAACTGCTGTCGTATTTGTTTGTTCTCCATGGGTCCAAGAGACACAGGACAAGAGTTTTAACTTTAAAAAAAATTTATTTATTTATTTGAAAGACAGAGTCACTGAGATAGAGAGAATCTTCTATTTTCTGGTCCACTCCCTAAATGGCTAACAGCCAGGACTCAACCAAAGCCAGGAGCTCAGAACTCCATCAGTGTCTCCCACATGAGTGGTAGGGGCCTGAGTACTTGAGCAAACACCTGCTGCTTTCCCAGGCACATGAGCAGGAAGCTGGATTGAAAGTAGAGCAGCTAGAATTTGAATTGGCACTCCAATATGGGATGCTGGCATTGTAAGCAGCAGCTGAATCCACTGTGCCACAACATTGGCTCCAAGATTTTTCAGAACTGTTGCCTTATTTTAAGTTATTAAATTAATACTTCCTAAATGATTTAACATTTTTGAACTGTATTTACTGTAGCCTACTAGAAGGGGATTCAGGTTGCAGTTGGACTGAGGAAGGTCTTCAGTGTGACTGCTGGCTGGAGCTGTGGGGAAGGCTGGTGAAAGGCAGGGAAGACAGGCTGGATGAGTGCACCGCCCTGTCTAGAGGCTGTTGAAGTAGTTTGACTGAGAAGAGATGGGAAGAGCATGGATTCTTGTTGAGAGAATGTGGGCTGTAATGAACTAGGCATCGTAATTTAGAGGCCCGTTTTTTACCTTGGGACCTTTGTATGGAAAGTAGCCCCTTGCCAGTGGGGACTCCTTTTTGGGCCCCTTGAGACTCCTTTTGGGGAAGGCCCCCCCCCCCCCCCCCCCACCGTGAGACTCTGGTCTGAAACTATGATCTCAAATAGTCGGACAATAGCAGTACACTACTTCACCCTTGGCAGAGCACAAAAACCCCCTAGCATGATTGCTCAAGCTTGAAAGTAGAAAGGTTGCACCTGGGTTAATGATAAAGATGTGATTTGTCTATGTCTTACCTATAATTTGGATTAATGTCAAGATCATAATTGATAATTGTAGGATTGTAACTGGTATTGTCAAGATTATAATGGATATCAATTTCACTTAGGACTTGGGTTATGTTGACCCCAGTAACTATGTACTCTCTTTTGATTTTAGCAACCATGTATCCCCCCTCCCAATTTTGCAGTTTTTGCCTTTATAAACCCTATACTTTAGTTCCTCCGGGCTCCTCTGTTCTTGCATGTTCAGAGAGCCCCAGCATGCTGGATCAATAAGCCCTTAACCCTTTGCTGGTTGCATGAGAGAGTCTCTTGGAGTCGTTCTTGGGGGCAGTGGACTTTTTTTAAACTCTAACATATGTAATGGTACAAGTGTAACAATGAAAGAACCATACTCTGCAATGTGCAAGAATATACTACTAACCAGTAGTGCTGTAAAATGGTGCTCTTACTGCCTGGAAAAAGTGATTTTTTTTTTCTCTAAAACCTCTTAATTTAATATCACTACTGATTGAACAGGCAGTCAGAAATCTTAATTCAGTTATTAGTGATTTATAAGAACGACTTCTCTATATGAAAGACAGTATCACTCAACATTTTCTTCTTGGGGTGACTGGAAATAAGCTTCCAGATTTGCTTTCTTTGTTTAGGCAGTAATGAGACATGTGTTTTTTGTTTTCAGAATTCCTGCCTTATTAAAATTTTGCTCTGATACTATGTTGTTAATATATGTGAATTTATTGTGAATTGATAGCTGATACCTATGCTGAGTCTTTCCTAGTGGGGTCACAATGTCTTTGGGCGTGGAATTATTTTTAATTCTCTTAGAGGTAAGCAAACTTACAGAAAAAGTCATGTGCATTACTGGGGCAAAACTGGAGCTGGCTTATTTAATCTTCAGCTCAGAAAATAAAATAATACACGGGGCAGGTGTTGTTGTACCGCCAGTTAAACTGCTGCTTGGGATGTCTGCATCCCATGTCAGTGCTGGTTTGAGTCCTGGCTGCTGTGCTTCCAGTCCAGCTTCCTGCTAATGCTCCTGGGAAACAGTAGTTCATGGCTCAAGTGCTTGAGTTCCTGCCACCCATTTGGGAGACCAGATGGAGTTCCTGGCCCAGCCCAGACTGTTGCCACCATCTGGGGAGTGAACTTGCAGATAGAAGATATCTGTGTGTGTGTCAGTCTGCCTTTTAACTTAATCAATTTTTAAAAATAAGTAAATGAAAATAAAATGCAAAATTCCTAGTTAAGGATCCTGTTTAGTCCTGATACAACTTAATTAGTCAACCAACAGGTAAGTCCACCAGTAATTGAGTTACAGATCATTTTTGTTACTTTTGTCATTAACGAAATGGCACACTTACTTTGTTTTATACCTATTTCAGTGTAGTTAAACCAGAATGTGCAATTGAGAATAGGAAAAACAGAGTTTTCTATTTTTCATTGCCTTCTAAACAAATACCAGGATTTGTTAATAGATGTAGTGAGAGGAAATGTTTGTAGGGGGAGATGGGATTATGGAACTTATGGGACAGCAACTTGGGCAGGGAGAAGACTATCAGCTATTCAAAGAGTGTGAAGACTAGCAGATAGGAGAAAGAACACACTGGCAGGCTGGGCAACTTTGAGAGCAGGAATAGACAGGTGTATTCGACCTCTGGATTCATCATTGACCAGAACCTTAGTGCTGAAGGAGAGTTTAGAGATCCTTTAGCCAACCACCTTCATCTCATGAAGAAGGAAATCAACATTCTAGAAATGTTACACGAATTCCTTAGCATTACCCAGTGAGTTTTAGAACCACGTTTGCCTTTCTCCCCACAAATACCAGTATCTGCCTGCTCTGATCTTCCTGTTCAACTTCCTGATTTCAACTTTGGAGGAGAAATAATCCACTTCTTCTTCAGGCTCCCCAAGATGCAGATTTTGTAATCTTCCTTAGTAGTACCTCCCTTTGATTGTAACTCAGAAGTTGACTTTTTAAAAACAGCAATCAAAAAGCCACAATTTTGTTAGTCTTCTCTTTTAAATAAAGTGCTACCAAAATATGTTAAATCTATTGAAAGCATGTCACAGAACTTCTCTTAGGAGGAGCATAATATTTGCCATTTAAAACACTAGGCTTGTTACATTGATTTCAACCCTCTAATAGGATTATGTCAGAGGTTGACCCTGAATCAAGCCACTTACCCAAAATGATGTCATTGACTTTAGAACTGGTCAGCGGCAGAAGTCAAAAGCAATGTTGGTTTCTCCACCTACAAACCATAATAATTCTTGCCTCCTAGTGTTCATATGTTCAAATGAAATGACTTGACCAAGCCCAGTGTCTGATTTATAGGGAACACTCCTTGTCATAGGCTAGAGTATGTAAGATGCTAGGGGTGAGTGGGAAATAACAGTGGTTTTTGTTGTTTAAGGAAGGTTGATGGAGGAAGTAGAACTTGAGATTACTTTCTGAAGACAAATGGAGTGGAAAATGCAAAATTAGGCTTGGAATTGAGAAAGAAAGTACAATTCCATGACCTAAAATTGCATTGCTCGTGGATCTTGTGTCCTCAGATTAGTTGAATGTGAGGAATTTGCCCAAGTAGTTTTATTAAAGCCATATATTATTCTGTACTCTAAATATACCACAGTCTACAACAACAGATCATAGAACCTATATGTAGAAATTACCAACTACAGGGGAGAACGTTTATTTCATGGCTTAGAAGAGAGAGAAACTTTTTTAAAAACAGATTGATTTGAAAGAGAGAGAGAAGGATCGGGCTTCCGTCTACTGATTCACTCTCCAGATGGCCACAGTGGCCATGTCTAGGCCAGGGTGAAACCAGGAGCTTCACCCAGGTCTTACAAATGGGTGGCAGGGGCCCCGTATTTGAGCCATCTGCTGCTGCTTTTCCCAGGCCATCAACAGGAAGCTGGAATGGAAGTAGAACAGCAGGGACATGCACCAGTGCCCATATGGGATTCCAGCGTCACAGGCAATGGCTTTACCTGTTTGCCATGGCCACAGTGCTGGCCCCAAGAGAAACATTTTTTTTTTTAAGATTTATTTATTTATTTGAAAGATAGTTACAGAGAGGGAGAGAGAGAAACTTTTAAAGGGAAAAAATAGTGAATTAAAATAATAAATAATACAGTTAAGTTTTTGTTTTTGACTCATAAATATTTTTGAAGTTTACTTAAATGTATGTTGAAAGCAGAATCAATCTGTGCCTGTGGCACCAGCAGACCAGTATGTGTGCCGGTTCATATCTCTGCTGCTCCTTTTCCAATCCAGCTCCCTGCTAATGGCCCGGGAAGGCAGTGGAGGATGGCCCAGATGCTTGGGCCCCTGCCACCCATTTGTAAGACCTGTATGAAGCTCCTGGCTTAGACCTGGCCTGGCTCTGGCTGTTGCGGCTACTGGGGAATGAACCAGCAGATGGGAGATCTCTCTCTCACTGTCTCCCTCTCTTTGTAACTATGACTTTCAAATAAGTAAACACCAGTTAGCACAAAGGACAGTTTGAGTTAGTGAAAAATAGATATTACAGGTTTTTTTTTTTGTTTTGGTAACAGCTTATTGAAATATATAATTCACATACCATGAGATTTATAAGCTATTTTTTTTTTTTTTTGACAGGCAGAGTGGACAGTGAGAGAAGAAGACAGAGAGGAATGTTCTTCCTTTTGCCCATTGGTTCTCCCCTCCAATGGCCGGCTGTTGGCCCGGCGCCCCTGCCGTTGATTCCGAAGCCAGGAGCCCGGGTCCCTTTTCCTGGTCTTCCCATGCAGGTGCAGGGGCCTTAAGCACCTTGGGCCCTCCTTCCACTGCATTCCTGGGCCACAGGAAGGAA